TCCAAGATCTATCTACAGTGCATTTGCAATAATCTCAACTCACCTTTGGCTCTCCAGAGGTTTCTGTCCTTGATGGCAGCATAAACAAAACTGAGAAAAGAAATACCAAAGTTTGTCCAAGCTTAAGAAGAGAATATGCAAAGAAAGGTTGCCTTGAGTTTCAGAATTGTAAACAGATCCCACTTGAAAGGAAGGACTGAAAGATGCGATTTCATACCAATCTTGAAAATTGTGCTGGATTGAGAAAGGCACTTGCAGCGGATTGAAAGCGTTGTGTTTACTGATAACTTCACAGTGGGGTTTACTACTATTACTGTATGTAGGTAACATGGGACTGGTGATAAGGAATATCTGTATGTGAAATATAACCTTCCTTACCTATAGTTATCTGCCCATGAATTATGGTTTCATTAATATGTGTTGAGCTGTACAAAACAGGAAGCCCCATCATATGTGTGTTTATTCAAAGGGAAAATGCTTTGATTTCAATGACGCAACCCCAATTTATGAAGCTGTTGTGGCGCAGCAGGTTAAACCGCTAAGCTGCAGAACTTACCGATCGGAAGGTCAGCGGTTCGAATCGGTGGAGTAGGGTGATCTCCTGCTGCTAGGCCGAGCTTCTGCCAACCTAGCAGTTTGAAAACATGAAAATGTGAGATCAATAGGTACTGCTTCTGTGGGAAGGTAACAGTGTTCCATGCAGTCTACTGGCCACATGACCTCGGAGATATCTATGGACAGTGCCGGCTCTTCGGCTTAGAAATGGAGATGAGCACCACCCCTGAGAGCCAAACCCAACTAGACATAATGTCAAGGGGAAACCTTTACTGTTAACCCCCGGGAGCCCCTGGTGGCGCAGTGGGTTAAACCCCTGTGCCAGCAGGACTGAAGACTGACAGGTTGCAGGTTCAAATCCGGGGAGAGGCGGATGAGCTCCCTCTACCAACTCCAGCTCCTCATGCAGGGACATAAGAGAAGCCTCTCACAAGGATGATAAAAACATCAAATCATCCGGGCGTCCCCTGGGCAACATCCTTGCAGACAGCCAATTCTCTCACACCAGAAGCGACTTGCAGTTTCTCAAGTCACTCCTGACATGAAAAAAAACCCCAAAAAACCTTTAACACCAACTTGGGATGCATCTACATTGTAGAATAAATGTAGTTTGACACTTCTTTAACTAGCATGGCTCAATGCTGCTATGGAAAAATGGCAGTTGTAGTTTTACAAGGTTTTTAGCCTTCTCTGTCCAAGAGTGCTGGTGCCTCACCAAATGAGAACTCCCATGATCCCATCCCATGCAACTCCCCATGTTACGCCAGCTCCACTGGCTGCCAGTTTGCTACCGGGCACAATTCAAAGTGCTGGCTTTGGCCTATAAAGCCCTAAATGGCCCCAGCCCAATTTGCCTGTCTGACCACATCTTCCCCTATGAACCACCATGGAGATTAAGATCTTTTGGGGAGGCCCTGCTCTTGGTCCCACCACCATCACAGGTGCGTTTGGAGGGGACGAGAGACAGGGCCTTCTCAGTAATTGCCCCTTGGCTATGGAACTCCCTTCCTAATGAGATCAGGTCAGCCCCCTCCCTCTTGTCCTTTAGAAGGATGATAAAAATGTGGCTGTGGGACCGAGCCTTTGGGAGTGTGCAATGACAGAGGTGGCCCTAAGTAATTTTCAACGGTAAGCAAACAGTATTTTGCCCCCCCCCCAACCAATCACTGATATATATTTTCTGTTCGTCGTGGGAGTTCTGTGTGCCATATTTGGTTCAATTCCATCATTGGTGGAGTTCAGAATGCTCTTTGATTGTAGGTGAACTATACATCCCAGTAACTACAACTCGCATATGTCAAGGTCTATATTTTCTGTTAGAGCACCTCAAGAGCACCCCTGGGCAACATCAACTATACTGCAAATGCTTACTTTGCGTAATGGGTTGAGCTGCCCCTGGCAATGAGGCAGTGATAGGAACCTTTAGTATGCCAACCAAATTTGAAATGCTTGTTGATACAGTTTTAACTAGAGGATTTTAACGTCAAGATAAGTGATTTTAATGCTTTTGTATGTGTATGGTCTAGTATGTTTCAGCATTGAATGTTTGCCGTTTATATGTTGCGTTCCGCCCTGAGTCCCCTTCGGGGTGAGAAGGGCGGAATATAAATGCTTTAAATAAATAAATAAATATTTAACTAAGACAAGGTAGTTAAAATAGTATCAAACTGCATTAATTCTACAGTAGATGCACCCTAGGTTGTGGTTATATGAGGCGGGAATAAACACCATTGTACTCTGAGCATTCGAGTAAACACACACGGGCCTCCCTCTGTTGTACAGCTCAATACATATCAGTGAAACCATCATCATCCATAGATACCTCCAGGTAAGAAGAGTTAATGTTTTACATACAGATGTTCCTTATTGACAGTGTAGATGAAGCCTTAGGCATCTCTATGTTTACACATTTGTTTGGGAGTTAAAGGGGGGCGGGATGGATATGGTTATTCCAGCATGTTAAAAGAAAAGTCAGAAAAATCCCTAAACTGATCCTCTATGAGGGGCCACTAGAATGAAGAAGAAATCAAAGCCACAACAAAATAAAATAATATATGTATACACATATACCTCCAGGTAAGGAGAGCTATGTTTTACATACAGATGTACCTTATTGACAGCTAGATTCTCCCTTAGGCATATGTGTATTGCTGGCACATTTGTTTGTTTGTTTGTTTGGGGCTGGGGTTGCTTTTCCAGAGAGAGAGACAGAGAGAGACAGAGAGAAAAAAGAAAAACAAAGAAGGGCTACTAGAATTGAGAAAAATTGAAGCCGTAAGAAAAATAAAATAAAAGAGATAATGAAGGAAACAAAAGAATAAAAGAATAAAATAAAACATAAAATAAAATAATTGGGGAAGAGTGTGTGTGTTGCTTTTCCAGCATGTTAAAAAAGAGAAAGTAAACAAAACAAAACAAATCAATGACAATGGGCCATTTTTTGTTGAGGAGATAGGGCGGTATATAAATAAAAGTTATTATTATTATTATTATTATTATTATTATTATTATTATTATTATTATTGATGAGGGCCACTAAGAATGAAGAAGCAAGTGAAGTCACAAGAAAAGTAAGATAAGTAAAAAAATTACGTAAAATAAAATAAGAAATTGGGGAAAAGTGTGAATAGACTAGAATAACTTTATTTTCACTGTACATTGTATAACAAAATTGAATATTGAATGCTTTCCCCAGCACACATTACGAAAACAACACATCACATCTGTCCCTCTTTGCTTTTCTATCATGTTAAAGAGAAAGAACAAACTGATCATTAACAAAAAACTAATAACTGAAGAAGAAATCAATGCCACCAAAAGAATAAAAATAAAAAGCAAATAAAATTAAATAAACAACAAAATTTAAAATAATATAATGTATAATATAATAAAAATGACCTAAAATAAAAATAATATAATGTATAATATAATAAGGGGCCCCCGGTGGCGCAGTGGGTTAAAGCACAGAGCTGCTGAGCTTGTTGATCGAAAGGTCGCAGGTTCGATTCCGGGGAGCGGCGTGAGCTTCCGCTGTCAGCCCTAGCTTCTGCCAACCTAGCAGTTCGAAAACATGCAAATGTGAGTAGATCAATAGGTACCGCTCCGGCGGGAAGGTAACGGCGCTCCATGCAGTCATGCCGGCCACATGACCTTGGAGGTGTCTATGGACAACGCTGGCTCTTCGGCTTAGAAATGGAGATGAGCACCACACCCCAGAGTCAGACATGACTGGACTTAATGTCAGGGGACTACCTTTACCTTTATAATATAATAAAATGACCTAAATTAAAAGAAAATAACAGGGGAAGAGTGTAGATGTTAGTTTTCCAGCATGTTAAAAAAAAGAAAGAGAAAGAAAACAAAACCGCTCAAACTGATGAAGGATAAAGAAATAATCAAAGCTACAAGAAAAATAAAATAAAATAAATAAAAACAACATAAAATAATGCAATGAAATACAATAAAAATGCAATAAAATAGCAAAATATATAATAAATATAAATAATAAAATAAAATACATAATAATAAAGACACAAGAAAAATAACAAAATGAAATAAATATAAATAAAATGAAGTAATGCAGTACAATAAAATTCAATAAAATAACAAAATATATAATAAATATCAATAATAAAATATAATTCTAATATTAATTATAATAAAATAATGCAATGCAATAAAATATAATACAATAGCAAAGTATATAATAAATATCAATAAGATAATAAGATAATAAAAATTAAAAATTAAATACACAACAATAATAAAGCCACAAGAAAATAATAATAAAATGAAATAAATAAAAATAAAACAAAGCAATACAATACATTAAAAATACAATAAAACAAGATATATAATAAATATAAATAATAAAATAATGCAATGCAATATGATAAAAATACAATAAAATAACAAGATATATAATAAATATGAATAATAAAATAAAGTAATGCAACACAATACAGTAAAATTCAATAAAATAACAAGATATATAATGAATATAAATAATAAAATAACACAATGCAATACAATAAAAATTCAATAAAATAACAAGATATATAATAAATATAAATAACAAAATAAAACAATGCAACACAATACAATAAAAATTCAATAAAATAACAAGATATATAATAAATATAAATAATAAAATATAATATAATAAATATAAATAATATAATAAATAACATAAAATAATAAAATAAAATAATGCAATGCAATAAAAATACAATAAAATAGCAAGATATATAATAAATGTAAATAATAAAATGAAATATTATACATATAAGTAATATAATAAAAGTAACATAAAATAATAAAATAAAACACACAATTAGTACAATGGACTACAATCCAATCTGCACACACTGGCTCCCACGCCACAAAAACAAGACGCGGCCCCTTTAAACCCGCCAGGGGAGGGAGGAGGACCTTGGCCTTTGTGGGATGACATCACTGGGTTTGGCTTCCCGAGGCTCAATGGAAACTCAATGAGGGAGAGAGTCTCGTCAGTCCACACACCGGAGGGAGGCTGAAGGGGAAGGAGGCAGAGCCAGAGAGAGGGAGAGAGCAGGCGCGAGCGCGCGAGAGCGAGCGAAGGAAGGAAGGAAGGAAGGAGGAAGCGGCGGCGGCGCTGGCTTGACGGCGACCGGGGCCGCCTTTCCCAATCCTCCGTCATCCTCCCCTCCGGGGCGCGCTGCCCCCTTGACAGCCCCAGGAGCAGAAGCGGCAGGCGGGCTGCTTCCAGGCGGGGTGAATATTGGGGGGATCCGGGCTTGTTTGGGGGTGCAAACCCGGGGGGAAAGGAGGCCCCTCCGTCCCTTTGTGCTGCTCCTTTTTTTTCCCCTCAGAGAGGAGGAGGAGGAGGAGGAGGGGGGGAGAGGGAGGAGGGCAGGCTCCCTCTGCTTTCCACACAACAAGGCTGGGGTCGTGACGGGGGGGGGAAGCATAATGATGTGACACAGGAAGAAGGGAGGGGGAAGCTTTTTGGATAATTTCTGAGGACAACAAAAGGCTTAGCCAGGGCTGCCCCTTTTCACCATTTTATACCCTTCAGAGCTTCCTCCCCCCATTGTCTGTATATAGCAAAAGCAATTAGTACAATTATCTCTATTATTATTATTGTTTTGTATCAATTTGAGTCAGGGGGGTGTTGAGAACGCCATCATATCCAATTATATTGCCTGTTTCTCCTGTTAGAGGGGGGGAAAGGAAGCAGATCACCATTGTGTTTGCCTTCTTTTGGCTTCAATTTCCAATAGTAAGTAACGGTTATTTCTGTCTCTTTTATTCCCCCCAGCTTTAATTATCATTAGTAATCCCCCTATTATTTATTTTCATTTATTTTATTATTAATATGAATTATTACTCCCTTTTTTGTTGTTGGTTGTGACCAAGCTTTGATCTATTCCTCCAAAGTGACCAAAATAGGGGGGGGGGGGGAATTGGATGTTTACCCCCTATTATTTCTATTTATTTATTTTATTATTATGATCATTAGTTATCCCCCTATTATGTATTTTTATTTATTTTATTATTAATTATTATTAGTTATCACCCCCTTTTTGTTGTTGGTTGTGACCAAGCTTTGATCTATTCCTCCAAAGTGACCAAAATAGGGGGGAAATTGGATGTTTACCTCCCTATTATTTTTATTTATTTATTTATTTATTTTATTATTAATTATTATTAGTTTTTCTATTTATTGATTTTATTATTAATATTAGTTATTACCCCCTTTTGTTGTTGGTTGTGACTAAGCTTTGATCTATTCCTCCAAAGTGACCAAAATTGGGGGGAAATTGGATGTTTACCCCCTATTATTTATATTTATTTATTTATTTATTTTATTAATTATTATTAGTTATCCCCCCCTCCTTTTTTGTTGTTGTCTATCTATTCCCCCAAAGTGACAAAAATAGGGATGTTTATTGTCAAATCACATTCTCCTTTTCCGTGCCTTTTGAGAAAAGCTTGGATATTTATTTATTTATATAGCCTTTAATTATCATCAGTTTAATTATCACTGCCTCCCCCACCTTTTATTTTAGTTGTTGGTTGTGATATATCCCTCCAAAGTGACAAAAAATAGGGGGAAATTGGGATGTTTATTGTCAAATCCCATTCTCCTTTTTGTGCCTTTTGAGCTTGGATGTTTATTTATTTATACAGCCTTTAATTATCATCTGTTTAATTATCATTGCCCCCCCCTTTTTTTAGTTGCTTTAATCTATCCCTCCAAAGTGACAAAAATAGGGGGAAATTATTGTCAAATCACATTCTCCTTTTCTTGCCTTTTGAGAAAAGCTTGGATATTTGTTTATTTATATATACAGCCTTTAATTATTATCAGTTTAATTATCACTGTCCCCCTCCCCTTTTTTGTTGTTGATTGTGGCAAAGCTTTGATATATTCCTCCAAAGTGACAAAAAATAGGGGGAAATTGGGATGTTTATTGTTAATCCCACTCTCCTTTTTGTGCATTTTGAGAAAAGGTGGCTGTTTATTTATTTTTCAGCCTTTTAAATAAATATCCAACCTTTCTCAAAGGCACAAAAAGGGAGAATGTGATTGACAATAAACATCTCATTTCCCCTATTTTTGTCACTTTTGGAGGAATAGATTGAAGCTTGGATATTGGGGAAAGGGGATAATGTCTCTTCCAACCCCCCCCTCCTTTCTTCTTTTGTATCAGCTGAGAGACCTTTAATAAGGGCCTGTAAGGTTTTCTAATTCTATTTCTAATTAAGCATACATTTTTTTAAATTTTAATTGTTTTTTTCCTCTCCCCTCCTCTCCCATGTTTCAACCATTGCTCGAAGGTGATATAATTTGAAGTTATGCTTGTGGTTGAGTGATGAGGAGAGATAGTATCAGTGTCTTTTTATCTCTCTCTCTCTTTTCATTGCTTATGTAGTAATGTTTGATCTGCTTTCATCTCCTTTTCTTTATTTTTTTCTACCTTCCCCTAAAATAGGGGGGAAAGTAAGTGTTGAAGAGGAAAAAAAAAGCAAGCAAATAAGATGTGTTTCCTGGCCCATTGTTTTTTTAAAGGGAGAAAATGTGTTGTTGAAGGCTTTCATGGCCAGAATCACTGGTTTGTTGTGTGTTTTCCGGGCTGTGTGGCCATGTTCCAGAAGCATTCTCTCCTGACGTTTCACCTGCATGTATGGCAGGCATGCTCAGAGGTTGTGAGGTCTGTTGGAAACTAGGAAAATGGTGTTTATATATCTGTGGAATGACCATGGTGGGAGAAAAAACTGTTTGCCTTTTTGAGGTAGGTGTCAGTATTTCAATTGGCCACCTTGATTAGCATTTAATGGCCTAGCAGTTTCACAATCTGGCTTCTTACTGCCTGGGGAATCCTTTGTTGGGAGGTGATTAGCTGGCTCTGATTGTTTCTTGTCTGGAATTCCCCTGTTTTTGAGTGTTGTTTTTTATTTACTGTTATGATTTTAGAGTGTTTTTTTAAATACTGGTTGCCAGATTTTGTTCATTTTCATGGTTTCTTCCTTTCTGTTGAAATTGTCCACATGCTTGTGGATTTCAGTGGCTTCTATGTGTAGTCTGACATGGTAGTTGTTATTTAATAATGTTATTACTTCTCCTGTCTGTTAAAATTTCAAGAAATATGAAATATCCCCTCCCTTCTTGCACCTCCTTCCTTTTAGTTCTTTAAACCGAAAAAGCATGTTTTCCTGACCCATTTTTTAAAAGGGGGGAAATATTCTTTATTTCTTATGTCTTCCTCCAGCGTTTAAAGCTAGTCTGAAATATCCCTCTTCCTTCTCATATCTCTCCCTCCCTTTAAAAAGCATCCATTATGTATCTGGGAAACCTTTACACAATCTGGCTCAAGGTGTATTTCCCTTTCCTTGTAAATCAAGTAAGGTTAGTAGGAAAGAACTCATCTTCTCATTTGGCGTAATTGTTTGGGAGGGAGTAAGGTGAAGGCGGCGGGGGGGGGGGGTTGTTTACATGCTGAAGAAGCCCTGTTTGTTGTTTGGGGGATTTGCATTGTGTGTTTGTACATACATATGTATACACATTTATAGCCTCTTAAGCGTATGTATTTCCTATAATGTATAATGGAGTGTGTGCGTTTGTGCACACAGCATCGTGTAACCTAGGTTGTAGCTTTCTAGAGTTGTGTGTGTGAGACAGAGAGCACTAGAGAGAAAGGGATATTAATACATAATAAGCATCCACTCACGCAGAGTATATGCATTAGGGCAATGTGTGGGAATCCTTCCTGATAGTAGAAGAGGGAATTCTTGGTCGGTTTCTTGCCTCCCTAGGGCTTTTGCTTTAGTTTGGAAGAAGGTACACATTCATTTATATAGTTGGGTTGTGGAGAATAAAGCCTGAGGCTGGAAACCAACTATTTGTGGTTATTTATGGTGGTAGGTGAACAGGGGAAAATCTAGTCTTCCACTTCTTCTCATCTCAAGTTATTTGGAAGTCAAACTAGCTGGATGTTTGTAGTCCTTGGCATGAACAACCATAGTGTGGTTGCATTTTGTGAACCCTTTACCCACAGCTTTGTCTTATGCCTTACTAGATAGGAAGTCCCTTGAATGTTGATGTATTTAGGATTCTGCGTCTCTAGTGTGTATGGGAGGCAACAGACTATTCGTTCTTTGTTCCTAACCCTTTCTGCTCTTGCCTATTGTTGTTCTCTGAGTTGTTTTGATGATCTGGATAATATCTCCCAGGCTTCTGTGAGGAAAGATGGGATATTAACCAGCACATTAATGCTAGTAATCTGCTTTTTGCAAAGTATTTGATGAGCAGTCAGCTGGAAGCATTCTTATAAAACTGTGTGGGATAATCAAGAACTAGTCTCTCACAGGAAGCTGTTACAGGAAGTTGAAAGGTCACAGCGCACTGGGGGAAAAAAAACCCACAGTGAGCAGCTGGGTCCCTGGGGACCTAAAGGAAGGATAAAAGTCATGTATCCCTATAAACAAGATCTTTTCCATGAAATGGGTTACTAGCTTTTTACTGCACTAATAGATCATGCTTTTCAGCAATGCTGACAGAGCAAACTAAAACTCCTAACTCCCAAGGAATGGGGCACTGCCATAGTAACTTTGGAAGGATATTGGCTTTTTCCAGTTTTGTGACACTTAATTATTCAGTGAATATGTGTTCATCCAAATGTCGCTGGACTACAGATCCCATCAGTACTACTGATTGAGCCAATAGTGGGGGGTGATGGGGGTTGTAGTCCATCAATACCTAGCAGGCCAGATATGTCTTGCTTCTTGTTTATAGGGATACATGACTTTTATCCTTCCAGCAGGATAGAGCATGAGCCATATTATGGGAGGTTCTGAACTTAGATTTATAAAGGTTAGTTGGGAAGAGAATCTCGTTCTCTTGTTTGCCGGCCATGTTTCTTCCTGTTTGTTTTTTAGGGCTGCCCTTCTGTTGTAAATTCTGCTTGATTGAATTTAAAAAGGAGGGGAGGCTGCATATTCTTTATCGATAAATAAACTTGCTAGCATTGAGTACATGTTACACCAGGAGGCTCCACCTCCTGGTGTGTTTTGGGAAGCTGGAACGGTGTTTTTTTAGGGTTTATGGTAATCTATTATAAAGCACACGCAGAATACTTAAATGTGTGTCTGTAGCTCATCCATTCCTCTCACTGTAATCTCATGATTAGTGGAAAACATGGATTTGAATGTGACTAGAACTCCACTTATGGGGCTTATTCTAACATCTTATGTCCAACAGCTTCCCTTCTGCTGTTCCCTGTTGAGGCAAAGGATGCCTTCATCTACTTAATCCTTGCCCGTTCTTCCCAGCAGCCCACCCCATGAGAGCAAAGCCTGCATGAAGTGCATTCATAAACATGCATTACATAAATTAACCATAGAGCAGCATCCTCTAAAAGAAACCACAGTCTCCTCCCCTTCTTTAGTCAGATCTATGTCATTTGATCATGGAAATAGCACAAGATGGTGGCTGTCCAAGGGGATCTTGTTGGTGAAACTCTAGAATTCCTATTTGTTCTCTGCAAATACGCTATTTCTCCTGCACACACCAAAAGTAGTAAAATTCAAGCTTAGTTGAATCTCATGTTGATGAATGGATTATGCAAAAAAAGACAGCGGGCCTACTGACAAATTATAGAGGCATGCAGACATGTGACTTCAGCCCAAGAAGCATGAATGCTTTGAATATGGGAGAAATTTACCTTTCCACCGTTCTTTATAGTAATTCTCTCTTGCAACTACACTTCCAATATAGTAATAAGTTAAAGTACTTTGGCCATATCATGAAGAGACAGGAAAGCTTAGAGAAGACCATTATTCTGGGGAAAATGGAAAAGGAAGAGGGGCTGACCAAGGGCAAGATGGATGGATGGCATCCTTGAAGTGACTGGCTTGACTCTGAAGGAGCTGGAGGAGGTGACGGCTGACAGGGAGCTCTGGTGTGGACTGGTCCATGAGGTCACGAAGAGTCGGAAATGACTGAACGAATGAACAACAACAACAACAATCTGTTCAGTGGAATAGCAGTACTGAGGCTTAGAGGTCTACAGTGGGTCTTTGGCATCCACTGGGATTTAGTTCCTGTGGACACCAAAATTCGTGGATAATGAAGTCCTCTATTACATACTGTGTCATAAAATGGCGTCCCTTATTCCAAATGGCAAAAGCAAGATGGGATTTTTGAAAACTATTTTTAATCTTTGGGTGGTGGAATCTGTGGATATGGCTGGCTGACTGTATTCCCATTTCTCTCCATCTCTCTTTGTCCTGTATGAACTTTAGAAATTGTATTGTGGAATATCCACAAGTTGATAGTAAAGTATATCATATATAAATAAGTTTTAGAGTTGGTTAGTTTCCACCTTTAGCTTTTCTTACAGTTTCTGTAGTGTTGCAATCTTAAGAATGCTAAATTGTAATTCTGCATCTTTGCTTTCCTATAAAATGTGAAGGCCTCAGTGTTGCTCATAAGAATAATTCCAATTTGTGTTATACTTTAATTAGATTAAAATATTTAATATATAATATATTAATATATAATATAATATATTTAAAATATTTAATTAGATTAAATATTTGTGTTATATTTAAATTAGACCTAGTAAAAGCGTATAAGAAACATACATAACTTTTTCAAATCAAATCTCTTCCTCTGGTAAGATGTTTGAAAAAGCAGGGGGAGGAGGAAGAGACCAGAAAACTGATTTGATGTTGCCTGCGTGACATCCTGAGATAGAATCAGCAATTTTAGCAAGACTTGCTTTCTGGATAAGTTTGTTTAGAATAGCAGCCCAAGATGGCTTTGGATTTAAGGTCAATTTAGGTGACTGGTTTGACTCTTCTGTTTTCCTGATTCTCCCAACCCCCACCCATGAGATGCATATTTTTCTAACCACATCATTGAAGAAAAGTTGCGCTTGCTAAACTGAAGTTTAGAGATCTTTTTGGGAGAAAAACTAAGTCAGATTTTTCTGTGTTAAGATGTAAGCCCTAGGGGTAAGGCAGCAAATTCAGGGAGTACCTAGGAACCGTATATGGTATCTGTTGCCAAAAGCCATGTTTTCTAACCTAACCCTGTATGTCCTCTGTTTTGTTTCCAGAGCAACTGAAACATGGAGCTTCGAGTGGGGAACAAATACCGGCTGGGACGAAAAATTGGTAGTGGATCCTTTGGAGATATTTATTTGGGTGAGTTACTGTTCTGTGTAGACATACATTTTTTAATCTTTACATTGGCTCAGACTAATTGATAGAATGATATATTTGATGGGTCCGTTTTTAAAAGTAGTCTGCTGCTTTTTCAACCTGAGAGAATTGGGGTCATTCTAGTCTTTAAAAAATGTCTTTCAGACTCTGAGAAGTTTCTAAAACAGGGATATATAATGTTATTCCTGTCCTCTGAAATACTTTTTTTTTTCCTGCTGGTACAATTTTTAATTTTATAAAAATAAGAATGGCAAGGGTTTGTAGTATTCACATATAACATCAAGCCCTCCTCTTCGTAATGCTGTGTCTTGTCCTTGCACCAAGTATATGAAGGATGGCAATATTAATACCTTCCCCCCAGAGTTTACACCTCAAGGTTGTCAAAGCTATCTAAAATGAAATAATCTAGCACTCAGTGCCATACGTAGACAAAATTTGCAAAGCTGTTATGTCTGAGACAGCTCCTTCAAAATTTGAGGCGATTCAGAGAAAAGGACAGTCCCTGATAGTATTCGATCTATATTGTTAAATGGAGACACCAAGAATAGGGCCTCAAGTATGTGCACTCCCTAATTTGAAGACTTTCTCTTACCTTGTGGCAATTTGTGAAACATGCTTCTCTTAGGGAAATCTTACATTTATTTTTCAATCAGGTTGCTAGTTTAGTAGGTGGTAAAAATACTTTGGATGTCATCTAGATTTCAGCAAAGCATTTTGTAAGGTCCTCTGTGATATTTTGATTAGCAATGATGACATGTGGTATAGATGGGATCACTATCAGATGGATCCATAATTGGTTAAAAACTCTTGTTCAATTATTTGTCGTCACTGATTGCACTTCGGACTGGAAGGAGGTCTTAAGTGGAGTGCCTCTGGGTACCATCTCAGAGCCATTACTCTTCAACATTTTTATCAGTGACTTAGGTGACAGTACGGAGGGAATCCTTATCAAGTTTGCAGGTGACACAAAACTAGAAGATGAAGCCAACACATTGGAACGCAGAAACAGAATTAAAAAGAACCTAGATAAACTAGATCAATGCAGTATTTACATTTACTTCATAAAACCCCAAAATATACAGGCATAGGATGGCCCTCAGCAGCATTACATGCAAAAAGAACTTTGGAATTATTGGTGATCATAAGTTGAACAGTTTGTAGTGTGGTGTCACAGTGAAAAAGGGAAATGTTATTTTAGGTTGCATTCATAGAAGCATAGTTTCCAAGGCTAGGGAAGCAATAGTTCCCATGTATTCTGTGCTGCAGTATTTTGCTCAGTTCTAGGTACTTCATTTTAAGAAGGAGATAAGACAACTAGGAGCAGGTTCAGGGAAGGGCAACAAGGGAGATAAGAGGTATGAAGAATAAAATGTATGAGGAAATGTTGAAAGTGCTGGGCATGTTGGGTTTGGTGAAGAGAAGTTGAAGGGTGACATGATTGCACACCCCAAATACTTCAAGGACAGTTACAGAGAAGGGGGCAGACATGTTCTATGCTGCCCAAATTGATAGAACCAGAAATAATGGTTTGAAATTGCAGGAGAGTAGATTTCGATTGAACATTAGAAGGAACTTCTTTACAGTAAAAGTTCATCAATGGAATCCACTGGAGAGGTGATGGGGTCTCCTTCTCTGGATGTCTTCAGGAAAAAAAGCTGTGGAAAGGCTTTACCCAGAGACCCTGTGTTGAGCAAGCTGTTGGACTCAGAAATCCACGAGGACCCTTTCTAACCCTATGAATCTATCAGTCTGATTCTGCAACAAAAACACACATACATTTCTGAGAACAAAGTGAAGTCTTCTATTCGAAACTTCTTGGTTTTCTTAGGTTGTGAATGAACAGGAATGGATCCCAGGATCTTAGAGGGTAGCATCATGGACATTTCTGGCTTTAGGTGATTGGGAGGAGTTATTGCTTGTAGCCCTTTGCATCTAGCTATGCTAGTGGAATAGGAAGAGGAGGCAAGCTCTTCAGTAGTAGCTTGGCTGCGTGCAGGTTATGTATTATCCTATGTAGGCCTGAAAATATGAAAAAAACATAGGAAAGGAATTGGAAATAGAAGACCTGCTCACATTCTTGACCCCTTTGATTCAGAAAAAGAAAACTGATCTATAAGGCAGAACACTCCTTGAGATTTTTTTTCATGTCATGAGCGACTTGAGAAGCTGCAAATTGGTTCTGGTATGAGAAAATTGGCTATCTGCAAGGATGTTGCCCAGGGGATGCCCAGATATTTGATGTTTTACCATGCTTGTGGGAAGCTTCTCTCATGTCCCCGCATAGGGAGCTGGGGCTGACAGAGGGAGCTCAACCCAGTCTCCCCAGATTCGAACCGCTGACCTGTTGGTCAGCAATCCTGCTGGCGCAAAGGTTTAACCCATTGCGCCACCAGGGGCTCCACTCCTAGAGATGAAAATTGCGGACAGTTGGGCCTTGTCTTGGAATAATTGCTTTGATACCATGGGAACAGTTGGCTACAACTTGATGTTTACCAGATGCATTAGACTGCATTCACCAGAATTGCCAAGCCATGGATAGAGCATGCTGAGTGTTGAAGTCTGACACATTTGGGAGGTGCCAAGTTGGGGGAAACTAGCTTGAATCCTGCTTGTCAATGATTAAAATTCTTGGTTTTTAAAATCATGTCACATGTGTTTTGATTTTCATAATACACAAAGCTCTTCTCATAATTGGTCCAGATACTCTCTGTTCACCATGTCTTTTGTTTTGTCCATTTCATATATGTTCCTAGAAGCAATTATGTATTCTAGGTGTGGCTTCCCTACCCAGTGTTTCATTGAAAGGTTATCCTCTGAGTGATCTGAAATATGATTCCTCTGCATACAGAGTGTCTCTTGCATGTAGTTCCCATTCCTAACATCCAGCAGTGTATCAGATTATCTGGTTTGCTTTTCTGGCACTGTTAACAAGATTTGCCAGCTTCACTATTTCCCAGATTCTTTCTTTTAAGCAGGGTGTTTTCAGTTTTCCACTTGAACATCTAATTATCTACATACTTTATTCATATAAAATTTATATGTCACTTAACCACCCAAAATGTATGACATTCCTAAATGTTTGTAAATGCACAAAATACAGTTTTTAAAAAGTTCAGGTGGCAAAAACCTAACATGCATTGTCAGCTCCTATAAACCCCAATCACCCCATTGACACAGAATTTCACTTTAGTGATTCAAAATAAAAGTGTATCCTCCCTTAAAACTATTAAAAACCTACATAGCTATCAGAAACAGTTAAAACAACAATGTGACAAACCTCAGAATATTGCAGTTGCATTGGGTGTTGATGTAGCATTTTTGTAAGACTATCTTTTTATGTTAAGGCCTGTAAATTCATAGATATGTACATCTGCTAAATTGTTCTTGTTATTTATGTATAGCCCATCTTTCTCCTGACATGGGAAGATTATGTCTCATCTTTCTTTGGTTCTTTCTTTCAAAAATGCTGGTTTCTATTTGACAAAAGCGTAGTGCAAATTGATTGCTTCTTCTCATTAGATTACTTTCTGATTTTCTAATGTATCCCTTTCTTTTCCATTGCCTTTTATTACACTTACTTAGCTAATAAATTCGTTTCCCTCCTTCCTTTCAAAGTCTCTGTTGTTTTCAAGAGTTATGCCAGTCGTCCCTTGCTTTGCACCAGGCTTCTAGAGAGACTATCTTTTTATTGAGTTTCTAAAAATGACAATGACATAGATTTAAAAGTAGGCTTTTCCAGAATAAGGTACTTAATTATTATTTAGTTTTAATAACAGCAATCCATTTTAAAAATAGCTTCTTTTACTTACATTTTGTGTGTCTAATTATGGATGTATATAACTTTTAAGAACATTTTTGGATTGTGAAAAGGGGTATTAGCTTTTAAATAAATTAAAGGAATTGAGATTTCCCTGCTCCAAATCACATATTTGCCAACTACTACAATTACTAATAGAACTTCCCTTATGTGTCAAAAGCCACTATTTCAGCAAATCTGTTCTGTCCTATAGTATCTGCACTTCGCTGTCTGTTGACTTCCTCTACCTTGCTTGCATTTTTGTAATCTGATTTTTAACCCAACCCTGCCTTGGTTTGTTAAGCCCTGAGGGCAAGATCTTCTATTCCTAACATGTTCAATTGTATGTTCATAGTTATTTAAGATTTTTTAAAATATTCAATCAGCTATTGTTATGTAATAGAACTTAACTGCCAACTTTTCAAAGACTTCAGCTTGGCTATAGATTTATGTTTATTTGTATGTATTGTTACAGGAAATTGAGCTAACCAAGGGGGTGGTGGATAGAACACCTGTAATAAATATTAATTTGAGTCTTTTATTTGGGGCTTACATAATTCATACAGGATATAAGGACAGTTGGTGGCCATTGACACCAGTGGCCTGTGCCCACTAACATACTGAATGAAGAATAAAAGGGTCAGTGCAGCATGTCATGGAGAAAGTAAGGTGCCAGCACACCCTATGCCATTAATTTCAGTTAAGAAGAGATAAGTCTGAGCAAAGGTTGTTTCCTTTGGCCTGTATCTTTGCAATTTTGCATGATGAGTAAAACCTGTGACGTATTGATCTGGAGTATCAAGTTTTATTTTCATTTTGTTTAAGCACTGAGCACTTTAAAAGTGGTCTTTGTTTCAATTTCAAACATTTTATTGAGAGTCTGGGGAGAGCTCAGATTAGAAGGAGACTAGACGCTCAATCTCTCAGTCAATTTGGTAAGCTTCAAAAACCAATATCAGAGCTGGTATGTTTGATCCATTGTCATTCCAGGTTCATTTAGATCTCATTCTGGGTTGACTGAAGAATTACTCATGTGAGTCAGTTCCCATTGTTCTTGCTATCTTTGCATCCAAGTTTTTTTTTTGTTTTCCCCCTTTTTTGCTTCTTTTAGCCACTAGTGCATTTTATTAAATTAAAGGACACTTGCTACTGAACAACTAACCTAGAAGTTGAAGAAATCACTTGT